TCCGGCGATCTCAACGGTAAGAGCAAGTCCAGGTGCAAGGAGCCAACAACAGCCGACCGCAGTTGAGCCTGCACCAACAGCAGCGCCGACGAACTTGACGAACTCCCCTTCAACATCAGCGTCGACGGACAGTACGCCGATAAGAGTGACTCGGTCGGGCCGCCAAGTTAGGCGACCCGTACGTTTGGACTTGTAAAACTTAGAAGGGGGGATGCAGTGATGACCCGACAGTTCTCACTCGCGTGCCCCGCGGCAACGCGCCCATGCTAGTGCGCATGCTCGGGGTTATCTCTTGAGTTCGATAGAAGTGATAATAAAACACTTGGGTTCCGGACTCTGGTGTGGCTGGTCGCACCTTCCCCGTGAGACACTTTCCATCGTCCTGTCCTCAAGCCTCCTCTGCTTGCAGCACAGCATTCATTGCCTGGAGCACGTCTCTGACCGGTGTGTGTCCTGTCCCGCCCATACATCAGAACTGGTCCCCAAGTGGCAACAAATCGCGTCGGAGTGTCATGCATGTCGCGATCCTGGCGGTTGGTCGTTCCTGGCGAAAAGCGCAGTCGAACGTGGGTGTTCCTGTCGTCATGGCGTTCCAGGCGTCTTTGTCACAATGGAGATCGACCCGTGGCAGAACAGGTCACATCCACCACAGCTGTCGAGACGCCGCCAGGACCAGCAACAACATGCTACGACGTCAACAGGCGGAAATTGAGGGACCGCTTTTTTGGACGCGGTTAACAAACCAGTTGGAGACGCAGGCATTGTATTAATGCTTCCAGAATATCTTCCACTCGTGGAAGTGCTCTGTGCGGCACGCCTGGTTGACCGTGAAATCTCTGCAAAGTCAGATGCTGCCGCTTTACCAGAGCACTACGGGCGCTGCCCTCTCAGGCTAGGGAACAGGAATTCCTGCCTCAGCTAGTCGGTCAATGCTTGCCACTACTTTTGAGCGCAAGGCATAGGAAACAAGATTTATAGAGCTATGGGACCGCGTCCGTTGGAAGTTGTAGAGCTTTTAGGCCAACCTGCAATGAGTCCTAGTCCTGGCTCGATCACTTGTGTGAATTCATCTAGCAAGCATCTGGCACTTAGACTGGAGGCTGAAGGCTCACCTTCATTTCCAGCGGGTTGAACGCACGGGGGAGGTCATGGCCACAGAGGTTGGGATTCCCCAGAACTGTCCTTCCAAAGAGTGCTCTCCTAACGAAACCTTGAGCTGTCCGTGCAAGTCAGCTTCGCTGGAGAATCTGGGAGCCTTGGCCGTGCATTCTTCTGCTGTACATAGGTCGGCCATGTGATGACCGATACCGGATATCCAACTGCATTTTGATGGGAACTCGGCCCCAGTCAAAAGTATGGATTCCCTGGTGGCGATGTGCCCGATGTGGTCATCTGTTGCTCGCAACATCCCTCGATGCTGGCATCCAAGTTGTTCTCTTGACGAGGCATGATGACGCGCTGCCCGGCCTGTTGGAGCATCAAAAACAAACCTTGGAATACGACCTCGTTGATGGAAGCACTGGGCTGGACAAAAACGGCATGCTTGGGGATTAATCTGGTACACATTGACTCGGTTTCCTGTCGCTTTGGCCGATGACGCTTGCCTCCCACTGCATGTATGCCCCCCTCCTCTTGCACGGTGCCTTGCATCTCTTTTGCATTTTTTTTTCAGCCATCGCGACCGCAATGCCTTTGGCTTCTATTCTTCTTAGGAGTGGTTTCTCTAGGAGACGCACTGTTGTATTTTGGAGGCCGCAGACCTGAATCTCTTAACATCCGATCGATCATGGCGCCGAAATTGCGCGTGTCTGCTATTTGACGAATGGCCACGACAAAGTCCTTCGCGGGTTTGCTCTGAAACTGCTTGCGCACGAAGAACTTGTAGGACTGAGCAATTGCATTCTGTTTAAATGCCATTTCAAAGGGGCAACAACCTCGATGGTTGATTCACATGGTTGGGGCGTCCACAAACGATGCCCACTGTATTGGTGCCCAGTGATGCGACGAGCAACGCACGCTTCTCCACGTCATTGCCTCGGAAGAAAGCCTCTAGGTGTACAGTGAATCCCGTTTAGAACGAACCCACGTACAGCGAATCATTGTCAATATCGAACTCACAAAAAATTTAAATAAAAATGCATGTAAAAAGTATGTTTTATGACGAACAACATATTGGCTATTTCGAACTTTTTCTCCCCGGGAAGGCTTCCAAAGATGCGAAGACAATGGACTTCTTCCAAAACCGACGCGCCCCATCGCGGCGAAATACCACGCAGTGCACTCTGGGAACTAGTTGGCCGCTCAGTTTCGGTTTCGACTGAGCAGCTTCATCTCATGCTATCACGCCGCGACCGAACGCACTGCTTGCGTTTTCGATTATCTGACTTTTCACGAACGTACAATACACTCATTCTTGAGCGATACAAAACGAGGGCCGGGGCACTTTTCTTGGTTCCCGAAACACCGGATATTATGAGTGCGCATGCAACCGTAGTAAGACGTGGCTAGTCACCTCACCCCACGAGCGCATCTTTCAGTTCAATTTCAATAATCCCGTCTTGTACCAGTTAACAACAACTGAAATTTGTTTATCTGGAGCCTTTCACCTATTTTGTTTGCCCAACGTCCGCTTCTTGTTACTTCATTGGGCAAAAAGCAAGCCGCATTCTCGCAGGAGTATCAAAGTTGAGCCCAGCGTTGACGCATGAATTTTGAAGGAAACGCAATAAATTCGACCTCTCTACTGCACAAAAGTTACTATGATGTCTTCCTCGTGTCATCATATATATCCCACTCAAATTTTATGCTGATAGAAGATTAAGTTTTCGCAAACGCTGAGATCGGCGAGCTACGACGGAAGCCCTAACAAGCGTCCCCTACTCCTCGCTAAGCCTTTTTGGACGAACTTTTACTGACGCCCAAGATCTGTGCCTCAACGGTGTGTCTGAAATTATCTCGACGTACTCAGGCAGGAAGAAAGCAAACACATAACAAATATTATGGCCATTAGCAACCGTCAAACGCGCTTTGAATACTTTCGTTCGTTTGGCGCACCGCATAGGGGTTCATGCCCGTCCGGCGCACTCCCGGCGAACGGTGCGACATTCTTCACACAAGTGCTCGACTTTTGTCTTCTAAAAACGGTCTGTACGTGCGAATGTGCCTATATGATTGCAGGATAACTTTATGCGCATACGCCATGTTGAACATTAATGGAATGCAAGCGGGTAGGGACCTCACTTCGTGCAGTGCTGCGGGTCAGTACAGATGAGAGATAAGAAGTGTATTAAAATTGAGCTTTTCAATGGCGCCTCCGAGTTTTACCTCGCGCACTCAGGCGTATTAAGAAAAACAGGAATTGCAAAAAGTGATATTTCGTCTGTGGACGCACGAAACAAACAAACTTTCTGATCAACAACACTAAAGTAAAGGCCCGAGCTCGATGCATGCATACTTATTGGTTGCTACAGCTTGTTGATTTGTACACAAGCAAGATCCCCGAGCTTCGCAGCGTCGAGATTCCCAGCACTGGCTCGTCCACATACCTCGATTTGAACGCTAACAGGAAGGCTCAAGTACAAAAATACAACAAGCATGAGTTAAGACAAGCTATACGTCTCGGGCTTGTCTAAAGCTTCGAGGTCTGGCCGTTTAGGTTAGTTTAGAGACCACAAATGACGCTCTCGGGACCAGAAAACATGAGATAACGGCCGTTAATAGCCCACACTCTGTGTATAATCTCTTGTCGACGTGTCGATCGAAACCGAAACCATGCCACCCTCGTCCCTGGCTGGCCAACTAGTTCCCAGAGTGCAACGCGCGCCGTGTTGCATGTAGGGCTTTATGGAAGTAGTCTATTGTGTTCTAGTCTGTCCCGTCCCCCAAACAAAGAAGTAGGAAAGAAAGAAAATTCTGAAAGCTCTGTGTGGCGAACAAAATTGAGCGAAGAGAAGCGACTCGGAAGGGGAGAAGCTAAAAAATACACTCAGCACGCACGTACAAAAAAAAAAACAAAAAAAAAAACAAACTTTTTAGCGCATTGTTACAAGGCGGAAGTTAAGAGATGAGAAAGAAAAAGAAGCTCTCGCCTTAGAACGAACTCATCGCGGAAGTTCGTTGTAAATACTTTTTTGCTATATCCAACTACTTGCTATATCGAACTGATCGTAGCGTTTCCTGCTGTTCGTTATAAACGGGTTTGACTGTACTACTTGTCGACTGCTTCATCCAACTCCGGTGGTCTTGTGTTGCTGGCCATTACTGCTGCGAAGGACTGCTACAATCCCATGCTCGTCGCCACTGTTACGATGACGCAGCCAACGCAACGACTGGCCAGCAACAAAAGAGATTCTATTCGAGGGATGTCCTTTTATGTCGTAGGGAAGGGATGATGTCCTGGACATTCGGCTCTTGACAACCACCAACTGTGTGCCGGTCTCTTCACCATCGTGAGCGACATTGAGGAGGTCAACCTTGCATTGTGTGTCTGCACGTTGAGCGCTTGGCGAGTACATGACGGGGGCCAAGTTGTCGTCTGCTTGATTGCTCACGTCTCGACTGTTAGCCACAAGCAATGCGAGCCACGACTGTACTTGCTCCACATGCATTGCATTGACCCCTTCAAGGGTCGCCTGGCATCGCAGTCACTACCCACATGTCCTGAACACTTAGTTAAAGCCAAAAAACACGTTTGTTGACACAGAAGGAAACGTGAGCTGAAAGACGATAATGGCTCTCCCGGTGCTGCGAAAGAGAAGGTTGATGCTCCTTAGCCAGTCTCGGTTTTTTTTGTCTCGAAAAAACACATTTTGTGCGCTTTTGTCAGGTAGATGCCAAAAATGTAAACAAACAAACCAGCTATTAATCGAGTCCAAAATTTCCTGTCAATGAGTGCGCAGTGGTGTGTCTCGCGGATTTTTGCATTCCTCGTTACAAAATACTTGCTAGTTTGAGTTGTGATGCAATATTTTAGATTTAATTTGGGAGACTTGTTTGTGCAGGAGTGGCGCCCGTGCAGAGCGACTGGAGCCCGGTGGACTGCCTCAACTTCCGCAACCTGGTGCAGGAGCGGCAGTTTGTGGCCCGCATTGTGGCCAAGCTGCCCGACGACCGGACGGGCGTCCAGGGCGCCCACAGGCTGGTGGTGCGCCTCGTGGACACCTCCACCGACAGGGACGTGCAGCTGGACGAGCTCCTGGTGCAGCGCAACATCGCTCGCATTGTCCAGTCCTAGGAGCTCCTCAGGAAGGAAGTAAAAGCTTGTGGGACAACTCGCGAGGGTATAGCTACTTGGGGAATGTCTTTTTTGTTGCATTCGAGAAGCTCAGAATTGCAAGTTTCCGAGTCTCTAGGAGAAACCCTGCATCACCTTCGGTGGCTCACTCTCGAGTTCTACAAAGGCAATCTGTCTCGCAGGAACTTTGATTTTTGCTCTTGAAGTGGTAGCGCTTCCGAGATAACCGGGAAACTAGTGATACTCTGCTGCGTGTTTCATTTTTGCTTCCGAGATCGGCGGAGGTCGTCCGGCAAACGGAATCTCTTTTGGGTTTGAGCAGCTTCCTTTTGTTTTTCTCTTTGAGTGGTCAGAGTTTGTTTGTGGCAAGTTTTTTTTTGTGTTGTTATAGTCGCGGAGCCTGGATAAATAACAAAGTGTGGTAAAGCGCCGTTCACACATATGCAACCGAGTAAGACCGAGAGAGACCAGACCGGTCTTTTAGCTTCTTGCAACGTCTTATGACCGGATGCGTTGCTGCGCAGCTGGTTCTAAGATGTCGCAAGAGGCTTAAAAACCGGTCTGGTTTCTCTCGGTCGCACTCGGTTGCAAGAGTGTGAACAGGCCTTAGACATCAAGCAGATAACTTGTTTTGACATTTTGCAAAGAAACATGTGTTGCTATTTAGGTTCCGAGTAAAATGTTTAGAGCTACTATATCAGGTTGCTGTTTTGTACACCGATGCAATCTTCCCAAGACTCAGCCTTTTCTTCGTTGCTTTGTTTTGCCTCAAATGTTGTTGCAATCCTTGCTGATCAAACTGGCACTTTTCCTCCGATGTTTCTTTTTTTTTTTTTTTTTTGCCTCTTTGCTGAGGTGAGGGTATCTCAGGCCATCATTTGCTCCTAATTAACCTGAACCTAATGTGAGGTTGTCTGCAGATGCATTCTGAAGTTATAAACCACTGAACTACAGATGTTTGGGGGATTGGCAGAAGTGACTTTATATGCATTGAAGGATTGCAATGGGCAAAAGGGTAAATGAAGGAAGCAACTTTGCAGCCCTCCGAATATTCTTTGTGGGGCAGCCAGTATCAACAAGAAAAGTTTCAGTGCTCGGCTGATGGTCTGAGGCTTCAGGGAACCCAAAAGGTTAGCAGAACCCCACTTGAGAACCACTGTTAAAAATACTAGTTCAATCTCAGACTGTATTCAGTTGTTTGCATTTTCCTTTTATCATGCAGACCCTGTGAAATTTGATTAGTTTTCACTGACAGTTTAAAGGCTTAAGAATAAATTTCAACATAATGTATGCAACCTTCACTTTGCACAGTTCCTCTTCGCTTTCATTGAGGTACAGGAAAGCAAACATTCCTGTGCAGCCCAGTATGATGGGAGACCTCACTGAAGGATGATACTTGCTGGGAATACCTGCTCGCAAATACTATGTGAACTTGGTGGTTCAGTCATGCGATTTTAAAACAAACATATCTGCCCTGCATAATAATTTGTTTCATGATGTATTGCGAGTTTCTGACATATTTTAGCACTGCAACTTCCCGCCATTACTTCTTTTGATGAAGTGCTGAATGCTCGAAATTTCAAATTCATGGTTCCTCCGCAAAAATGTCTGCCTTTGTCCTCTGTTTTGTACTTTTTATTTCAATTGTGATTTGTTTTCATACTCACGTTTATATCGTTTTAGCTGTCAGTGTGCGCAGTTACACTGCTGGAGGGTCAGTGTGGCTTCCAAGTATTTTGTTTCTTTCCTAGGGAAGGCACATAGAACTCTCAGAACAATACTAAGTGGTACTGCCAAAAATGGCTGTTTTGTATGCAACCCTGAGACAAGAAACCTAACAGCAATAATAGGTCTTGTTTAGCGAGCAATCTTATTAGTGCATCATTTGTGCAATAATGGGGCAGTTGACAGATTTCAGCTGAAGTTTGGTTTGTTGTCTCGAACTATATTTTGTGGAAAGCTTTGTGATGGGGTTTGCTTTTCACTACAGTGACTTGGGTCGCTTTGCCAAGAGACTTGTGCAGTCCGTCGACTTCTCCAAGCTTAGTGGACTCTGTTTTGTAGCTCTGTGCAAGTTAGCATGGTCTGTTGTTCTTTGGTATGTTTGGTAGTAATTTATACTATAGTTTAGTATTTCTGTCTGGAAAGTTTATATTGTGTTTTGGTCCTTTGCTTCCAATGGGAGGCCTTGGCTGAGCTGTTTTGCCCTGGCCGCAGTTCTTGCCCGCTCTGGCAATGGTACCTCTGACAGCTGTTCCTATAACAAGTCATTACGCTGGGTTGTATGGGTGTTACCACGCCTGCGGTGCGATGCCAAATTTGGAGCAGGGACTGTGCAATTTTTATGTCCCATGCTTTACTCAATTTTTTTTACAATAAACCTGCATTCCAACTTGGTATGTGCCGTCGACTTACTAGCTCCAAGGTGAGCTGGCAATCCTGCTTGGGTAGTAGCTGTTTTGGACCAGCGCAGAAATGATCACCGGCAGATGGAAGAAATGCAAAGTGAGAATTTTATTTAATGTTACAGTGCACCAAAAGAAAAACACTTGGACACAGGCACACTAAAAAATAAGTTGCTCGGCACTTGCTCACAACTCTTAGTTTTTATTGATCATCTTGTACTTACAATGAACAACTCTTCTATGCACCAAGAGCTAGATGCCAATCCAAAAAGTGAAAATCTTCAATTATAAAATTTCTTTACAAATTATGAGCCAGACAATTCTGGCAACATTGGGTGACGCTCCCGCTCGACGTGTTGTTGCCGCCATAGCCGCCATACGAGTTTGCCATATAAGTGTTGTTTATTAGAACCTTTTAATGAACATTTAACGCTGCCCCTGTCACCAACCCATCTCACATCTGGCGCAGTCGACAGCCAACCATGTCAAGGAACCCAAAGGCCACTTGCCCGCTTGCACCGCCTGCCAAATTCTTCCGAAGAACAACATCTTTTGTTTTGCCTGCCCCCCATGCCTTTTGTCAGTTGGGCCGAAGCCACGCCAAGCAACCTCGCCGGCTTTACAGCAGAATACTTCAGCGACGTGTTGTCTTGTTGCAAATTTGACATCGCTGGGTCCAAGGAGGAACTCATCTACCGCCTCCTGGTCGACATCGCCCGAAGCACCCTGCCATCGACCCTGCCTCTTCTTGACAAGGCTTGCAAGAGTCGTCACCTCTCCCGGCGTAGACCAAGCAGCTACTGACAATCTTGCTACAGCAGTTCCTGAACGTATACCAACATGCACCAGCTTTTTTGTGCAGGTGACTACCCTGCGTGACTTTTCCGCGTTGCTTCTAACTTTTAGTGGCGATAGAGGTATTTCGGCCCGCCACTGGTTTGAGGAGCTGGAGTGGACCCTAGGACACGCTTCCTGGGAGCCCTCGACACTTCTCACAGTCGCTCTCAACAAGTTTTGAGGTCCAGGAGCTACCTGGAAAGCTTTTTCTGGACAGCAGTGCCTAACTTGGAACAGGCTCAGTTTGGTGATCGCTTCTGCCGTGGCAGCTCAAGGTCACCGCTCTAATGCAGTTGCCGGGAGAGAGCCTCGTTCACTATTCCCTAGCGAAGCTGAAACTCCTCTCGCACTGACTGATGCTCAACACACAGTATGCTGTTCAAGGCATCAATGACGAACATCTAGCGACATCATGGAATAAAACAGCGCGAAGATAGAAATAGGAAGAGACAAACCAGACAGGACAGAGCGCTGTCCTGTCTGGTTTGTCTCTTCCTATTTCTATCTTCGCGCTGTTTTATTCCATTATGTACAACGATTACCAACTAGCCCAGCTTTCAACCTTAGTACAATCTAGCGACATCCCTTGCAGCGCTGTGCCCAGTGACGGTCACTGCATTCATTGCCATTGCAGCACGACTCGACCAGACCTTAATCATCTAAGATCAACAGAGGCTGCAAGTGCAAGGCCACTTGTTGCCAAACCATATGCAACGCCTTCCTCGACTCAACCTTCAAGTAGCCTGACTTATACCCCTGTCAGACGGGCTAGTTAGTGCACTTCAACCCGTGGAAACACACTCCAAGTGTGTTGGTGCTACACGGGAAAAGTTGGTGAGACTTCAAAATGATGGCGATGACGATGGGTAAAGTAATTGACACGCAAAATATTAAAGTGCATACGAATATTTTCATCAATAACTTCGTCGTCTTATTAAAAACGCGTTACCACACATCGTAGCGCTAAGTCACGAGCTTTTATCCAAATTTAAGGCTGCGTAGGAGGGGGCACGTTGCAATATTGGTGAAGCCTAGTCATAAAAAGTTTAAACGATTTTGTGCCCAGCGTGACCGCAGATCTCTGGCGATTGGTGCGCGTGACATGTCACGTGCGGGATGGATGGTCGATTGTAGGAGGACTCCTTGCAGGCTTGCGCGCGCTCCGTCCGGTAGGTTTTATCAGATCGAAGGCTAGACTGTGGTGTATTCTAGTACCCCAAAGCAAGACGAAGGCTAGCTACGGTCATGTGATGTGGTCACGTTGGCACGGTAAGTGAGGAGAGTAAGGAGGAAAATGAGAAAGAGGCGGAGGCGTCAAGGGAGCATGGCTTGTGGAGGCTACGCGGCCGACGTCATGCCCTCTCCTATCCTTCTATCCTCCTTGCTGCGGTCCCACGGCAGCCATCTTGAACAAGGCGTTAGTTCAACCAACAGATGGCGACACGCACCCGTGGGGTGAGTGGGATGGCTCTATACACTCCGTGCGGGAACTATAGGGGGCGCTTTGAAAAACGCGCGCAGCGCCGCTAGTGGAGGAGCTGGCGTTCGACTGTGAGGCGCGTTCAGCAGCCTGCGGCGCCTTTTCGCATGCCAAGCTGTGGCGACGGAAGCGCGCACGGACGAAACTTTCGCTTTTTAAGCCGATAAGTTGAGGGTGACGTTGCATGAGTGCTGGGGCAGAAGGGCATTTAGCTGTTCTCCACTTCTTATATATTGAGTTTGAGTTGTTATTAGGGGTAATTTCTCTCGTTGCGGCCGAAAAAGGAGTTGG